TGAAGAATTCTCTTCTTGCGATTTCTGTCAAAATATTGTGTACTACAAGACCTCTTGCCTCATTTTTCAGCAACTCGACAATCCACTGACAACAAGTGTAACAGTGTAAAAATATTCCTATAATTGTTTTCACCACCTTGCATGCAGAGCCGGGCACTTATTAAGACTTATGGAGGTTCTCGCTACCTTACAATGCTTCTAGAGAAGTCTTTAGACAGCATCTCTATGTTCTCTTGCTCTTAGAAGCACAAAAGTTTGTCCCATGTGTAATTCGCCATTTTGTTTGCTGTGACCACACCCACTTACATGCGGGGAGTGTAGGCGGGTGATTGCTAAGGCTTGTTATTTCTCCAATAGGGCTGTGAGGTATTAAATATAATTATATAGGCGGTAGCCTATATGTAGGATTGAGGTTGGTTTTTCAAGATGGCGACGGTTTTTATGATTTTCAAACACTCATAACTCTTTTATCTTAGGTTGTACAGCCTTATAAATGGCTTAGATGAGCTCTCCTTCACTGAGCGATTCTCCTGGTACCTTTAAAGTGGGCTGTAATGTAGCGGGAGCAATTCTGGAGAATAGGCCCAAATTCAAATTTCTGCAAAATTCTTCAGACTTTTTCTTCTTCTTCTTTCATCTTTCTTCTATGCACCGGATAATCTTTTAAACTAGAGAACCGCTCAAGTTGGCTTTTGCATCACTCCTCTGGGCTTGGGTCAAGGACCACAAAGGTGGCTTCAAAAAGAAGCGAGGACAGAGAACAAAATGGAAGACAGAATCCAGCTGCAGACACCGCGTGGGTTTGTGGTTTGACGCCATTTTAATTTATGCGCACGTGATCAGCATGAAATAATTAACATAACCACAGAATCATAACAGATGTAATATTATTAATATTTAAGAAAAAAGAATGGAAACAAGTAAATAAAAAACATTAAAAATGGAAAAGTAGTAGGATTGAATTGGAAAAAAGTAAAGAAACTAGAGGGTATGCAAACTGGTGTGGTAAATAAATCCTACACCACTGCATGATGATAAATTCTTTATAGTGCTATCATGTAGCTGTCCGCATGTGCTGAAATAATTGCAACTCATGCTTTGGATCATATTCTTCATGCCGGCAGTGGTGTAGGATTTTTTTACCACACCAGTTTGCATACCCTCTAGTTTCTTTACTTTTTTCCAATTCAATCCTACTACTTTTCCATTTTTAATGTTTTTTATTTACTTGTGATACCTCGGTACGGTATTGACAAAATATCCCGGTATTACTAAATATAGTAATTTATTTAAAAATACTAAAATAATTAATTAATAATTTAATTAATTAATCTTTTAGCTTTGAATGCTGGCAAGTACTGTACTTAATTTAAGTGATTTTAAAGTTAAAGATAAAAACTAGCCATTGCACTGTGTCTGGCTCAAAATGGTGTCAATTCTGCCACTCCTAATGAACACTTTCACATTGTCAACAACCTCGCCTAGTTGCCTTATGTATCTTTTCATGTATTTTTTATGTGTATTTGGCACTACTAAAGTACTGTAAAAGTACGGTATTGACGGTATAACGGTATTAGTAGTTGATACTATATTAAAAACCTTTGAAACTTAAATATATACCTTCTATATCTAAAAGTAATACCTCGGTATATAGAAATATAGGTATACCTCACAGCCCTATTCTCCAATACAACATGTATAGAAGAAATGTAAGGTGTGACATACAAACATCGCATGTGGGTGAAATCAATTATAGGAACGACCTGGGGCTACATCCCCAGGTCATTAAAAAGCTGCATGAGCACCATGCAAAAATCCCAGCTACCATAGTACCATTGATGTGGTAATTTACATCGTATGTTTGCTATTTTCATGCTCACGTTAAATCTACAAAATATAAACCAATTACTCTAATGTCATACTATAGACTATGCCAAGTACACAATAATTAGCTCAAGCAAATTTTAATTTTTGAGCACATTCCTTTTAAAACAAAATTTTAAACATTTGAAAATTTCTAAGTACATGTACATGTATATTTACTATTTTACCTAAAATTGATTTGATGCTTTTGTAGGCACAAATTTATTATACATCACCACTTTATTTTTATAATCTAAAGTACATGTACTAATGCTACTGTACGTGACTACAGCACATGCATCACTAACTTGAAGAGTAATGCTGGTCTCGTTATTCCAAAAGTTAACATTATAGACTGCTGTCCAATCAGTATACTCTGGAGTGGATAATGACTTATTGTATGATATTCCCATGATGACAAAAGTAGCTTCCTTTAATTGAAGAATAACAATAAATGAAAGGTATTGCTTTAATAACCAAATAAAGAGTTATGACTACCATGCATAATCACATGTACATGTACACATACATGTAGGTGATACCATGTAGTGGGAAATTCCGGAGGGAATTAAATTTGGCAATTTTGCATTTTGATAGCCATTCGCCAAAATAAAGTCCACCATTTCGAGCCATTATACTCATGCTCAATGGCACGTGGCCACTAATTCACCAAATTAAAATTTTGTAGTCACCAAATATTAGCAATTTGCCAAATTTAACTCCCTCCAAAATTTCACGCTATACAGTATACATGCATGTAAGCTATTACATTGAGTATAATGCACATGTAACTGAAAACAGTGCATTAGGAGGCTAACTGAGTTACATGTACATATACTTACAGCAAAGGTCCAGACTGCCATGTAACGCCACAATGCCAGCTTTCCTGAATTATAAAAAATAATAATAATCAATATTGTTAGCTTGTTACATTATCTTACCAGTTATTATCATCATGAGAAGCTTAGACAGCAAACTCCTTGCCTATATAATGAAGCACAACAATATTAACAATCACTCAAATAGTTACCAAACCATAAAAATACGTACACATGTACATACAAGAGCCTATACTTAAGTGATATAATCAAGCTACATATGTAAGCCTATGGTTTTTGAATTCTAAGCCACTTTAAAAACTGACTTAACTCAAACTTCCTACTTCCTATACCATGTAAGACTTAAAGGTAATAAAAATGACAAATTCCTACACTGTAGCTATTTTTGATTATTACCAGAAACTATGGTCATTGGTCAAATTTTTAAGCAAATAAATTTCACTACTCTAATTCTTCGTAAATGGACAGGAAAAATTGCTTTTGCTGATTTTATTTTTGTGACTGCACCTTGGCGAAGTAGGCCTGGCTAGTAAATTTAAATTTCCCAAAATTCTCAAAATTAGCAGAAATTTTGGGCTAATTTTTTTCAGCTAGAATGAATATACTTGTTGCTCAAAAAGGACACTGGGCAACAGTGCAACGCCTTGTCAATTTGCTGCACCTAGACTAGTGTAGTGCATACATTATTATTATTACCTGATACTCTTCTGATAATATTCCACTCAATGGAAAATATTTATTAAACTGTGAATAGATAACAGTTGTCAGTATACCAAGAAGTAGACGCTATAGGCCAGGCAATAGACTACAAATACACACATACAATAAACAGAGAACAGTTCAAGCCTTACCTTGATGGAGTAGTTTTAAAATCAAATAATATACTTGATATGAAATGCTTGTATCTTATATAGCTTATCTGGAACAGGAGGGAGGGCAAGAGGAAGAGAGTGAGAGAAAGGGTCAAGTTACTCAAGTACAATGTACATATTATACATGTACTTGTACTTATTATAATAAAGAATTAAAATCATGCATGGATTACTTCAATCAGTAAAATTTAATTCGTGAGTCATTTGGATAATGATAAGTGCAAGTGGAAATAGTTTCTAAATTTTCCAAGTGGCAGAATTTTACATGTATATTGGCGATTATTGTATACTAGCTAGAAAATTTTTTAAACTAAAATTTTGCAAATTGAGGTTCTTTTGTCAAAACTTTAGTCTCCAATTTGATAGGGTTCCATAACAGCATGCACAGGGTTAAAATTTCACCAACATTTTAACTTGCAAACCTCTTTTAGAGTCAATTTGCTAATTCTGACACTCCACATTTTCCAGCTATACGGTATACGTCATTGGTGATTGATCATGCTCAAAATTAAAGGTTTTATACCACAGTTGCTCATTGACAGTATTCCACAAACATAGCTTATTAATAATTATGACAGCTAGATTGCCACTAGTAAAATTAACACAAAATGTAGTTTGTGGTTCACTATTAACATTTTCCATTTCCACTGACCTGAGGTCCTGATAATATGTTTGCAAAGAAATAACTATAACCAAAATACTACAGAAAAAATGAAGTTATCATTGCTTAATGAATGAAAGGAAGAGGGTCCATATTACCTCAATAAAGGATGGCAGCTCAGCCAAGCACCTTTCCTTCTGTTCATCACTCAGTAAAGACTATTGGTAATATGAATAAAGGAGAAAGAGGAAGAGAAACGGGAGAGAAGTGAGTGGAGGAGTAATTGAACTATTTGTAAATTTTAAAGTATGAGTAACAGGAACGACATACCTTTGATTTTGTGCCATCATACAAATCATGAGCTAAACCTAAAAGAGTAAAAGTATGAAAGACATAATATAAAATAAATAAAAAATTCTATTACAACCACTGGAAACTGTGTAAGAAATTAAAAAATAACCTGTCCACTATAATCATCAATAATACCATACATTGGAAGATAGTGGGGACCATGACAGGGCACTAATTTGAAGAAACCCATCTATATACATTTGTAAAATCTGCACATGCTACTTATGACAAATTTTATACATGCAATGTTGACAAATCTATACCCATGATTATTATTCCCACCAATATTATCCATTATAATAAATCCTCTTCATAAGGTATACCACATATACATGTACATACACACATACATGTACCTATTAACTTCAGGACTAGTACACAATGAAGTATGGTCCAGAATATAGGATGTACTTGATTAGAACTTATAACAATCACATAACCAAACGTCAAGTGACCCTATATAATAAAAAGAGATCCATCAAAGTGTAAGATCATGGTAACTAGCTGTCTTAATAAGCATTCCTTACATTACAACAATGACTCTAGTAATTAAAACTGACCACAAAGCTACATGTACATTGTAATCCAATGTATAGCTAAATTAACATGATTAAAGTACCAAAGCATAATTATGCCAACAATGGCCTTACGCCATGGAATATTAATATTCATACCAGCAAAAAAATTCTACTAACAGCAAACAAACAACAGAGCATATCAGTGTGCATAGAATATAATTGGGCTTTTCTACTACAGTAACATACCATAGTAATAATCCATGTAAGTAATAGAGAGACTTTCCCTTTTCCAAATAATAAAAAAACACAATAGACGAGAATGACATCAACATAAAATGCAAAGAAGCAGACAAGCCTGAGAAAAGAATTACACACACTCAGTAATCAACACATTGTGTATACATTTCTCACCGAAAACATACTGTAGCAAAGCAAACCCACCAGCAGCACAAATAATAGGGTATTATGAGTGGACGATAAATAAATGCCTGCGGGTAAGCTAAAATAGGAAGAGGTCAGTAACTTGCTGATATTATAACTATCTTGTACTTAATAAGAGTCCAAAGATAAAGCGTGCTGCTGGCTCTGAAATGCTTAAAACTTCAGCAATGATCTCTACCACCATGTTGAGTTGCCAAACACACGTGTCGTGGGTGGTAGGTGTCCTGGTGTGGTGAGTAGGTTACTCCCACGTATGTGATTGGCTAGAACTAAACTGATGTACGTGTACCAAAAATTTAATGATGCACATAATATGTATTAGTCTGACCTACAGTGACTAGTCAGACCATACAGTCCTAATATCTATGCTCCCACCATAGATATTTCATTTACTCTAATGTCTATGCTCCCACGTATGTGATTAGCCAAAATAATGAAGAGCATGATGTTGTATTAGTCTGACCTAGTGACCTACAGTGACTGACTAGTCAAACCATACAGTCCTGAGCCTACAATCATTGGAATACTAGACTATAATAAATCAGGACTCATACAAAGAGATGCAGTTGCATGCACAGTAAACTTGTAGTTCTAAACAGCCACTTACATCTTATAGTGCTGGAGTCAGCCTGGGGAATGGTCTGATTAAGGTGACATCATAGACACTTTATGGTGACATATATATATGTACACAAAGGGGAATATTCATTTTTGTTTCCATTGTCCCACTGCACAGGGATATTTATACTGTAAAGAGTACATTATAATTCTAAGTACATTATAAGTCCCCACACTACCTGAGGCTGATTACATTTTGGTATTCATCGTCTAGCATTGTCAGAATGTCAGACAGTTGTGTAGTGTGAAAACTGAATAGAACTGAACTGCACTAATTTGGTACACATCAACAGCAGGTGTACCAAAATGATACTACTAAAATAACAACGGCATATATACACAGAAGGGAACATTCATATTTTGTTCCCATTGTCTATTGCCGGAAAAATTGCATGTGCTGAGAATATTGGAAGAATGCTTTAGCTGGTAAAGTCCTTTAAATTTGTTAATGACTAACTCATTTTTGAACATAATACATAAGCATTAACCAGATTCATTTTGTATACATTTGCCTCCTGCTAAGTGCTAAGGGACTGAGTAGGTCATTATTATTTTAGTTCCTAATGGTCGCTTGCCCTAATTAGGTGGTATATCATTATTAATCAGAATAATTATGGGCAGGATTAACTTTAAGGAAGTCTATAGCCAAGTGTATAGGTATCTGTTGTAGCCATTAAATGGCTATACACTTGGCTAGAAACTCAGAATTAGACATAAGCAAATGAATAATTATGAATTAATGCAGGAGCCCATGGGCTGCAGACGGATGAAATGTATAGTACATGAAATATGAATGTAATTAATTATTGGCCTCGCCTACGCGAGGTATAGGTAGTTGTTGTGTGTGTCTGTCATGGGCCTGCCTGAAATACGGATCCACGCGGATCAAATGCGGATCAGGCTGAAATGCGGATCAACGCGGAACGCTCGCGGATCTGTATTGAAGCACGGAACAACACGGAAACTATACGGATCTTTATGTATCAGGAGAGAAATTTATCAGCTCTATTTGAGTCTTTGATAGGAACTTTATCATCCTTGCAGTTTCAGTACATGTAGGTAAGCTGATGCTTATGATCACTATGTCGATAATATCAGCCTGTGTTTTATGACAGTTGAGATCTATAGATAAGCTGATATCCTCTTGAGCTATTCTCTTCAACTTTTGTAAACATGCAACCATTGCCTGTGATGATGAGAAAACAGACTACTACTAGATCTAACTACTGAGCAGTCAACACACTCAACATTAGCTCAGTGTGCCTTCATGCAGTCAAGAGACAAGTCAAGTTATTTTAAAATGCTATCATGGCTGTACCCCCCAAGTTCAACATAGATGGCAAAGTGGACCATTGTCTGGGAATTCCAGTCTTTGTTTTTTTTACTTTATCACTGTTATTTTCTAATTATTATTATTCATTCTGCATGACTTATAGAATTATTATATTTTTAATCTTTATTATCATTATTCAGCTTACTACTATTATTATTTATTCATTCCATCAATCATTCACAGTCGTAGTCTCTTAATATTTTACTATTAGCTATTGTTACTCATTCATCATTTTTGTGTATTGATTTAATCTCATTGTATTTCCCAATTTCAGTGTACTATATGCTTTGGTTTTATAATTGCAAAATCTAATTAAAGTGAGATGAATGTATAAGAAATATGAATCATGTAAATAAAATTCACTTGATAAGGGATCTATAGCAGTTTAAATAAATTTGTACTGTAAATGGGAAATGTATGTATGAACTAACTTGAAAATTAATGACTTTTAATAACATCAAATAATTTTTTAATTGGAATGGAGTACATTTTATAAAGCTATAAAACTTCCATACACCCGCAATGCCATTATAAAATAGTATGCATTAATGTTATAATGAAGCTTGTATTTCTCCCCTTATCAGTGGTGATTCATAACCAGAAACATTTCACAGTCTGCACTACCTTGTGTATGACTATAGCTGTCTACATAAAAATTCAGAGCATTAATGTGTTGCAATAGAGACAGTTATACTTTCATTTCTCGTGGTAAAATAAAAATTCTTTTGTTATTCCTATTCAATCAAAGTTTGAAATATTCAGTTCATATATCAGCTGCTGCAGCAGTTTGCTATTGTGTTAAAGCTATAATATCACTGTGTCATTAAAAACTTATGAATTTATTATAATTATTTCTTAAAGGATCCATTATAAGATGTTATTGTTCTGAATCACATTCACACATAAATCTTGAAGTTATGGTCAGCTCAAGTAGATACTGTATATAAAAAAGAAACTGTAATCACCCCACCAAAATGCTTCATAGTCTTAATGAAACAATAATCAGCTTATATAGATCTAACTGTCATGAAAATTACTAGCAACTACGTTACTATGAAGTTTTATAGTCTAATTGAAACTACTATATCAGCTCTAACTGTCAATAAAACTGACACTATAGTAAATGTAATCAACGAAAATAATATTATTGACATAGATCTAATGATCATAAACA